AGTTTTATCGGCAAATTCCAATTGGGCACAACAAGCTGCTGCTGGATATCCTTCGGGATATCAATCAGTACAGGACCCGGACGACCCGAAGTTGCTAGAAGTAATGCCTCACGTACAATACGGGGGATGTCTTCAACGTCAAGCACAAGGTAGTTGTGCTTAGTAATGGATCGTGTAACCTCGACAATGGGGGTTTCTTGGAACGTAACAGTGCCTATCATCCTGCGCGGAACCTGTCCTGTGATGGCAACAAGAGGAAGGCTGTCAAGCAGGGCATCGGCCAGGCCGCTGACGATATTGGTGGCACCAGGACCAGAGGTGGCGATGCAGACCCCCGGGCGGCCTAATGCACGAGCGTATCCCTCTGCAGCAAAGATACCACCTTGCTCGTGTCTGGGGAGTACATTACGGATTATGGAGGACCGAGTGAGGGCTTGGTGTATTTCCAAGGATGCTCCACCTGGGTAAGCGAAGACAGTGGTTACGCCTTCACGTTCAAGAGCTTCCACAAGTACATCGGCACCCTTTCTAGGTTCATCAGGCCCAAATCGGGAAACGAAAGTGGTGGGAGAGGACGAGGTGGTAGTGATGGTAGAAACAGTGGTGGCGGTGGCAGCGGCAGCAGTGGCCGCGAGTTTTGGTTTCCCATCTGAAAGGGTGTTTGTAATGAGAATAGGACGGTGGAAGGTAGGTTTTTGGTAGTTCGTGGAGATGGGAAGAGATATGTGATAATGGGGTTTCAGGGAATTCAAGGAATCGAAGGGAGAGGGTTTTGGGAGGGAGAGATACGCTGAAGCCGACGCCATTGCTGACATCGAGAGAGGTTGAGCAGGGTTTTTCAGTAGGAAGCTATACTCCACCATTGATATATATGCCAACGGAGATTGTACTCCTACCGGTGAATTTTGTTTTTGAAATGTTGGAATGAAGATACAAAGCAAATGATATACCTGTTTACAGAAACAGGTGTTTTGGGACTCCTCTCTTTTTTAAGAAAAAAGGTATGAATAAATAAGTCCCCAAAAACCAAATTTTGAAAGAAAAAAAAAAAAAACTAGATGTAAAAGCGTGTATTTCTAAGTACAGATACGCCTTGGCCGATACACAGGGGCATATAGATAGTTAGATACTTTCAACCATACAGGAACAGGAGGCATGCGTTTGTAAATAACCCTTGAAATTAAAGAGAAATAAAGCATTGCATTTTTTTTATGAAAAGTTCAAGCATTGTATTACTGACTTGTCAGATTGTTAAACACCATGTACACCAAGGGTACAATGGGATTGTACAAAAACAATTTATGGCATTCAAACAGCACCCAAAAGATCCCAAAATATTGATAAAAAAAATTAGCACACAAAAGATCCATGTCAAAAATCTACCAGAGTTGCAAGAGTTGTAATTCTTATCCTCAACCATAAAATTTCTGAGTTTTAGAGCTGCCTTAAGAATATTGAACAGAAAAACAAAGAAACTGGCATCTCAACATCTATATAAAAGATGTGAGAAAGTTACCTAGTCATTACCAAAACAAGTGCAGGCATGTATGCCATCTGCTAGATAACAACATATGTTTTGATCAGTAACTGGATTTCAGTGGAAGAGGAATGGAAGATGATACAAAGCAAGAGGGCAGAGCTAACTAGGCACAAAGATAGAATGGAAGCAAACATGTGAGGAAAAAACAGTCCCTCATCTCAGGGAAAAAAAGGAAAATAATACAAGAATGACCTGAAAATACTGCACATGGAGTTTGCCATGTAATCTTCCAATTTCAGGATTCCATTGAACAACACGTTCAAAGCAAGCCAAGAGCTCAGGCAGTTATGATACGAGTATCTCAACAGAATCCTGTTGCCAGACCTTCCTATCACAATGGCCCTAGGAAAAGATGAAAGAGGACTACTATCTACTCCAGGAATGGGGATTCAAAAAGACAAAAATGAATGCTTGGAACCAGGTCAATAGAAGAGCAAGCCAGGCTGATAAGTGAAGATCCAACTAAAATCTAATAAATGGTAAAGAGCAAGACTGCTTAGTAGATTACTAGGTTCACTCTACTCTCCAGAACTGGGGAGTTTGGAATTGGAATGACTCAAGTGTTGATCTTAGATAGACAGAATAGGCCGAAACAACAAAACCAGGTTTTAACAGGTCAAATGACTCAAATTCATCCAACTGTAGCTTCCTGGATGACAAATACATCCAACCAGAAGAGGTCCTCATAAATCAGATTATTGGAAGCCTAGGAGACTGGCTGAATATCAATCCACACTTCAAGGATGATAGTCTTTCTTCTTTTCCCACCAGAAAAAATAAATAAATAATCAGTAACTGATGGTGGGCCTGCAGTCTTTGAGGATACATGCCATCTTCTTCCCCTCTATGCCCAATGGCAATGTTTTGAAAGTATATACTATTTTCTATATGAGGTAATAAGTAAACTAAAGAAATTAAAAAAAAAAACAGATATAAATTTATAAGATAAATGTTGATGAAAATGCACATATAACAATCAAGATAAGTGGCATGAATGAAAAACATGGCTGGGTATCAGCTAAACTGTCCTTTTAAAGACCCAGTTTTGTAGTTGAGTAGTTGGACCATCAAAACTCAAAACCAAGTCATTTAGCTAATGAACAGTGAGAGCCTACAGCAGCTTTCCAGGGTTTATACAATAGTTGTGTGTTATTATAACATTTATAAGGTAGGTTCTAAATGTTGTACTAAAGTTTGTCATTCTTTGATTACCTCATGCCCAAAAACCTTGTGAATTTGACAAGTTTTGGAGTTCACTCCATGCCATAATTCTACTGACTCAGGAAGCTGATCTAAAGTCTAAACTGGGTAAGAGCACAAGTTCATTAACAACTTCAAATAGCTTGAAAGAACATTCAGGTAGGAAGCAGCAGGAAATCCACAATCTGTCTATGCATCTGAACTTGGAATATTGTACCTGACTAAAATGTCATTACATGTATAGCATATTAACAATGATCCTAATTGTGAAAGTTATAGTTTTAAGCCCACCTATTGCACAACATTGAACATTTTAATTCGTGTCAAAATTAGCAAGGAGGTTCTGATTATTTAGCAAATTCAGGTGAATTCAGGCTGAACAGCATTGGAAACTATGAACCATTTTCATGAGCTATCAGATATTTTCACTTCATACAAAAGCAGAGCAATTGTACTGCATTTCAGAATTAAAGCAAGATGCAACACTCCAATTTGTTTCTACTTCAAAAACCATAGCCATTATCCTTTTACATCTGGAGAAATAGCACATTCTATCTCATTAATGTAGGGCTAGTTAATAAGGTCAGTCAGTAGCTTTTTCAAAATCCAGCGAAGTATGCTTTTCAATCTAGTGGCAGCCCTCATGGGTCATCATCAAAGCCTTCTCACAACTATATGGGGTTGGCTAAAAGAATCCTGTTTTACCATTCTGAAAAAGGTTAGCAAACTAAAGCAAATGACACCCGGTTTTAAAACATAAAAATAGAAAATACCAATTCAGAAAGTCTGTTTTTTTATCAATACCAATTCAGAAACTATTAGTACTCAAATCTAGGTGCAGATATTGATTCCATCACCTTTTATATGTTTTAGTCTCTTTGAGATGCTCAAATCTCTTCAGAATTAACCTCTATTGCTGTGGAAGGATGGACCATACCACTCATACATAAAAGAGCCCTTGGAGTCTACAAGAAGTAGCTATTAGGTTGAGCAAAAAACCTATTAATTACTACACACTAAAGAACTAAAACTGTTTCTT